TCCTTAGCCTGTCCAGATCCCTCTGCAGCAATAAAACAAAATAATTTAAAAAATAACCAACAGTGTGAATACCTAACAGGACAGAACCATTTAAAAGAGAAAGAATGACATCTTCATAAAACTTTGTGTTGTGTTCAGATTAAAGCAACCAAAAGAACTCATTAATAGTTCTCAGAAATCACAGTTCACGCACTCATAAAAATAACAAGCCCTAAAGCAAAACAAAGATAGGAAATTATAAGCTCTAAAAAAATTACTTTTAATTAGCCCAGACAGAGCATCATGGCAACCCCCACTATTTCACTTACTCCATTCCTGTGACAGCTCAAGTGGCAGGCATGTTGTGTTACACACTGCTTATTCTGCTGAGCAACTCTCTATGGCATTAGTACAACTGTAGCAAGCAGGGTAACACACTTGGATTCGGGTACCCAACCTCATCTTGTATTGAGCTGTACACTGATAAACAGCTGAACATATGGACCTGCGAAAATACAAGTGATCTGCAGCTACTTCTCCCTCCATAATTTTTATGGTGCTCACAGATTATACCCCACAGCAATCATGTAACTTCCATCTCTTTTTGCAACAGTTCAGAACAATATTGAATACAGGCTTTTTTTCAAGATTCCCTTAGAAGCACTACATGCTGCAGCTACTGCTATAGTATACTTGCTCCTGGAGAAACCTGCCACTACAGTCCCTCATGCTTCCCTTGGGTTTTCCACATGCTGGGTTGGAGCACAGGTCTCTGGCCAGCATCCTCAGCACCTCAGAAAAGCAGCAGCACTCAGTGCAGGTTCAGAAGAGCAAATAAATGCAACACAGTTCCATACCAACCACAGTGATAGAGGCTCTTCAGCTTCCCTAGCTCACCCTTCCCAGTCACATCACCTTCTTACCTTTCCTTCAACGCAAGTCTACACATGAGTTCAAAGCAGTTCAGCCTCCTCTCCAAGGTTTCCTAGTGTGATGTAGATTGTATTTACTTCCTTTTCAAAGCCAAGAATTTTGTTCCCTCAAAAGCCCTCAGGTAACAAAGCCTCTCTCTGGCTCACATTTAATCCCAACAGAAGTATGAGTGGAAGTATGAGTGCCAGTAAGGCCCAGGAGGAACCATCTGTTCTTACAATAAACATCCTTAAGAGTGCTTCTTTAATCCACTTATGTTGCATTTTCATCAAATCTTTGTATTTAAAGTTTTATAGCAGGTTGTTTCCTGGCCTTGCAAAAAGCCTCACTCAGCCTTACTAGCAAAGCTGTGAAGTTAATTATTGTGGCTAATGGCTTCATGCACACCACCTGGGCTGGGGCACGGCCTGGCATATGCTTGCCTTCCACACCAACGGGAGCCTCTTCTGTCAATGTATTGTTCATATTTACAACATGTACGACAGCATAGATATATTTAATTACCTCATCTCGCTGATGTATTCCAACTTGGTAAGTCTCTCGTGCCCAAGCCCATCTCTTCCCCACAGTATAAGGGATCTTACATGCTACTGTCTTTCAACTCTTTATGGCTCATGCTCCAAATCTATGCAGAAAATCTCTGCAGGGTTACCAGAAATCAGAGGGTAGGCATGACAGGCTACAGTCACCCACCTATTCTACTTGCCCTTTTCCATTCTAGATAAAACATCTGCGGTTTTGCTATTTTTCTTCTCCCAGGACATCATCCATCCCCCCACATTACCTTGCCTTGCTTTCTCCTGCCCCCAAATCCTCCAGCTGACTCTTCCTGGAGAATACTTCCATCCTCTCAGAAGCACACTACCAGCCCCAAGCTTTTGCTTCTCTTCATTATCTAGTTTCTCACCAGCTGGCAGCCTCTAGTTTTCAGTCATAGAATCATAGAATTATTTAGGTTGAAAAATACCTCTAAGATCTTCCAGTTCAACCATTAACCTAACAATGCCAGACCCACCACTTAGCCATGTCCCTAAGCACCTCCTTCTCAATTCCCCTCACAACAGAAACAGTAGGTGCTGTGCCATTCCCTTCCCATACTGCTAGTTCATCTTCTTCCCATCCTTTTACCCAGTGCTGAGGACTTCACCTTTCAGGCTCTGGCTTGAGCCTGTTATTGCCAGGTGCTACATTGTGACTCCTGTTTACACAGTGATCAGTTAGACCTCAGGTGATGAGTTGAGCAGACCTCTCTCTCCTTTGCCCTTAGTGAATACTGGACAGTGGCCAAAGGGGCCAGTGCCTTCCATATGGTCCCATCCTTGACTGAGTTTGTTCTTATCAAAGTAAAAAACTACAACATTTTGTAACCTCAGAAGGGAAGTGACTGTTCACCATGCAAGGAGAAAATGCTCTTGAAACCAACTTTCAGTTCACAAGCCACAAATCACAATATGTCCATTATATTAATTACAGTATTTAGTGCAGAATTAAATTAACATAAATAAAAGTAATTACAATAATTATTGCTACAGTGGTGCGATTATATTACTAATTTTGCCCTCTCAAATTATGATTGCCCCAACTTGCATTTCTGATATCAGCCATGTCTTTATAGACTTCCTGCCCACTCAAAGGGAAAAAGACCAAGAAATTTCCTCTCTTACACATAGCATTTCATCACCTACCAGCAGTCTAACCAAACTATCTTGTTCTGACCTGCTAGTACAGATATACTAATCTTGTTAGGCTTAGTTGTTCAGGAGACAAATAGAGTAAATATAGCTGGGGGGAAAGCAGAATCTGTGGCTCATGAGGTGCCTTCTCTTATGTAGTTATGGATCAAATTTTTCTAGCAATACCATTATTTTCAAATTTCTTGTAAACTGCAATCTGGGATGCAGTTTCACTTTGAAAACACAAAAGAATAATATTTCTGAAACAGAACATATTCTCTGAACCCTCTAGGTTGGGAACTCTGCAGGTATTTCACACCCACACAGGACAAGTAATTACTAGTCAAATGTGGTTACAGCTCTATAGCTATGTTTATACCTATGTTTGTGTCTAAATCAAAAGGCAAATATGGTCTATAGTGTAAATCAGTCCCAGGTACACCAGTTGCCTGAAACAAACAGTTACATATCTACCCTTGCTAGGAAGCCACTTCCCTTTCAGTGGGAATAAGAGTGGACACAGAAGATAAGAAGTTGGAGAAAGGATGTTACTTACCTGGGTCACATCTCAATACAGCATCAAGACGAATCTGGGCACCCACCCAGTTAGCTAAGAAATACTCTTTAAGTTGCACAGGTGAGATCTGCCTTATAAATATATTGGCAGCTCTTTGTTGTGTTTTACTGTATGAGCTTTCTCCTCAGCATGGCTAAGTAGACTAGGAAATAGGACTTTAGCTAAGAAGTGAGACTGCAACCAGCAAGTGATTAAAAAGTCTTCAAAACCAGATGATGTATAAAGTGTTGTAGAGAGCACATTGAACCAGTATTACATTGTACTCAAAATACCAAAGGTTATAATTTTTCCAAATAAGGTGCAAAATGCAGGTTCTGCTTGCTGTGACCACTGTAAGCCTTTCAAAAGTCAGAACCTTTACTCTCAGTGAACAAGCAAAAGTTCCTCATGTCATCTTTTTTTTTACTGTTTTGCCGAGTTGTTTCATACTATCAGCTGCATTCTATGCATTCTACTGTGAAAAGAAAAAACCCAAAAAGATAAATATGTTAAACTGAACTAAAGAGTAAGGATGTTGGTCTATAGGTAGTTTTTATCCCAAATTTGTTAGAATATAGTTATGACAGAACAGTTTGTAGTGCAGTAACATCCAGTACTATATATATATATTAAAGACAGAAAATCGTGTGCCTGATACTTACTATGCAAATATATACTACTATCACTTCATGGAGATACACTATTACTATGTCACAAAGAGATACTGTCATTTCTTGACATAGTACAGCTTTCTCATGAGGGTTGACTGCCTTATCAATATGGCTGTCTTTCTTCCTGTGTAGACTATTTATGAACACACACTGCTGTGTTTATCTGAGCTCATATATATCTCTCTCAACACAACCCCTCATTGTGCAGCACACACATACCCATTCAACATGTCAAGCAAGAAGTTATGCACAGTGCAAGCCCAACTGTACCACAGTGGTTTCTAAATTCACAAAGCAATCTTGGCAGAAGACATTTCAAATATGAAATATCATGTGTGTGGTCATATTTAGAAATCAGTTCTATGCCTCTTTCATACCCAAAGCTCTCCCTGAAGTATAGAAGAAGTTTGTTACAAGTACTTCAGTGAACAAGGACCTTTGTTATTATCAATGAAAGTCATTCACTTAAGCTGCTAAGTGATTTTTCTTTCTGGTAAGACAAGCAACCATAAATTTAGCTATGACTGGATGAGCAATAAAAATTAGGGGAAAAAAAAAGATAAGTAATTCTTATTGATTGATTTTTTTGAAAACAAAAAAGGGTCAGGGAACATTACACATCTCATCTAATTCCTTGCCAATTCATCAGAAGCTGTATCTTTGATTTCACTAATGTACCAATGAAGTGAAAAGTTACAAAATCTCTACTTAAAGGAGGACAGGTCCTCTATTGCCACAGAGAACTATGCTTTTTAATACATGAGTATTAATCACGATTGAAGAATTTTGTACTTGGGTCTGCTGTTTGTAAAAGGAGATTTCAAACAAATCCCACTGTAACTTACTTCTAATGAACACTTAACTATTCCAAATCACTACCAACATTTTTACAACCAAAAGGGGATCTGTGTTATCTTACTAATAATCTTACTTAAAATGGTCAAAAGCTTTCTGTAGAATATAAGAACTATACAGAAAATAAGTGAGGAAGAGAGACACTCAAAGTTCTGTGATTAACTTTACAAGATCTAACTAATTGCAGTAGATGAAAACCTGAGAAATAATTTCAAAATCTTCTCAACATCACACACAAGTATGATTCTCTCAAAGATAAAAAAAAGGAATATTATTTAAAAAGTTTTATTCACAAGACATTGCAAGGACAAAAAATATACAAATGAATACATAGCAATAACTTTTTTGTCTTACAGAAACAGTCAGGTTTGTGTTGTTGCATTTACTGTGAGACAAACACTTCATTAGCTTTCACCTATGAATCAGAAAAATGGATTTTAGTGCATTTTCTGTATCCTTTAGGCCAATGCCATCAAAGCCTTTTTGTATTCTCTAGCTAACTAAATATGCTTGACTCATATAATCTCGTTTTATGTTTCTTCTAATTAGATTGGGTTTTTCACTCTTTAGCACTAGGGGAATGGCACTGTGCATGTCGTCTTCTCAAGAACCAGCCTAACCAGAGATGACTGCTGCTGTTTCTCCAATTGACTAAGGCTAGCTGGATATAAATAAATTTTATTCTTGTCTTCCACTGTTTATACCACTGTTGTTCTACATAATATAATATAATATTTGGTGTACTAACAAAATTCTTTTATTGAAGAGGATTACTAATTATCATTATTTTCATTCTAATAGCTCAGGCATTGCCAAGACCAACTCCACAAAACACCACAAGGCTGATTTCAGCAACTTCATGGGTCCAACTATATTTTCTTAGCAAACGAAATCATGATGACCTCCTGCTCAGCACTTGCCAGGATGGTAAAACAGTAATGCGGAATGGGATAAATGTAGCTGTCATCAGGAGATACTGGCTGTGAATAATGAGGTAAAGCCATGATAAAACAGAGGGAGCAGAACTGAGGTGATCAGATTTTGGGAGTTTCCAGGAAGCAGTATGTTTTGATCAAAATTATTCTAACTACTATTTTTTAAAAGAAGGTGATAAAGAATCAAGGAGAATTTCTGATATTAGCTTTGGGGATGTCATCCATCTTCTCAAGTGTTCTAAAGAATAGCTAACAATTATAGACAGTAGGCTCATATTCTAATCCTAACTCCATTTCTTGTCTTCTTCTAGATAGGTATTTCATGTTTTTACTTACTTTCCTTATCTGTGAGCTATGCTGTTTACACAACCCCCCTTTTATGGGACAATTCAGGATCTAGATGTGAAATGAGTACATGAGAACTAAAGACTTCAATCTGAAGTCAACACAGGAACTTAATATGCATTGGATTTTATAGTGACAATCACAATTGAAATATTTTATATTCAAAAGTCATAGAAAAATCCAATTAAGCACAGGAACAAGGGCAGTACATCATAGTGAAGGTGGAATGTTTTTTCAACACTTAAAGTCACTAAATGATGACATTTTTAAACTCTAACACAGGCTAAGATTGCAAGTTAAAAGACCAAACAAGATAGCTAGTAAGCAGTAGGAAATGAACAACTATCCATGGAGGTAGTCAAGATAAGAAAGAGTGTCAAAGTTTTTTGTCCTCAGAGTCAGGAACTGGTATCTCTCTAAAGAAAATCAAATTTGGGTCCTATGAATATTTCATAGTGCTTCCACCCAGAGCAGCAGTTAATAGCTGTATTATGGAGAATTACATCATTGCCTAAGTTTACATGCTATTCATAAATTCAAGCTACATCTTCCCTGCAGTTCACTTCCTATGGCATTCTGTAGCTCCTATTTTTACCCCAAGCACTAAATGCCATGGCACTTAACTTTAAAATGGAAGAAAATGTAGAAACTGTGGAAGGCATTTAAATTAGAATAAAGCATTATGATCATAATAGCAATCACAAGACATGTAAACACATTATCTTCTTCAAAAGCACTGTAATAACTTTTAAAAAAAAGAGAGACAATATATTGGGTGCAAAATAAATGTAGATGGGATTAAGTCACAAAAGTAGAATGTAACTTTGCCTTTGACAGGTGCATTACATCTACTGCTAGCAGATCTTTGACTTTCTCTCTAGTCTTCATTTCAGCAACCTTTGTCAGCTTGACACACCTGTACATTTTGAATTGAACTGCAAGACAGGGAGATAAGTTTCTTCTCAAATCTCAGAGAGTTAACTTGTGCATCAAGTATTGTAAGAGCTGGTAAGGCAACTACAGCATTCCTGGAAAGTATGGGATATTACATTAAAATAAAAGTCAAGAGCTACAATACACATTCAGTGCATAGGTATACATGAAATGGTTTGGTGGCACCTAGAAATCTATACATGCAAAGGGAAATCCAAGTTAGTGCCCTGCTCCATATGTATTTTTGATTTGTGAAATACAACATGCATTTCTAGAGACAATTTTATTTCTATCATCGTATTCTTTAGTTGAACTTCCACTGAAGAATTTTGAACAATTTAAAACCTTTTGGAAATGGCCTCACAGCATCAGTGCTTTATTAGACCCATCACTTAGGCTGGAAGCTCAAACACCTGAAGCTGTTCCAACATACTCAAGGAATCAACTACAGCTGACTAGATCACATAACTGTAGATAGTAGAGTATGTCTCTTGTTATGTGCTGCTGTTCCTATAATCAGATCTAAGCAATTTTCACTTGGCTTAAACTACTTGTGGGATTATTTTTTTTTTAAGTTTCAAGGATTATGAAAGATTTTTTGAATTCTACCTGTGTAGCATTATTGTCTAAAGGAAATGCATGTTCAATCAATGTTCAATCAATGTTCTAAATTTAGCAACAAGTTACATGCTCAGAGACATTAAAACTTGGCTCAACATTACTTGAAATGTCTTCATTAGAATTGCATGAAGCAGAAAAACAGTCATCTAAAACTGTTTTCTCCCTGGATCTTAGTCACCTTCGAGTTTACACAGATGACATGCTACAGTAGAAGACAAAACAACATGGTAATATGTGAATCTGTTCGCCTATATACAGGTAAAATCAGTGGTTTCTTAAAAATTACAGATTGTGATGCAGAAATTAGCACACATAGTGGAAACATAGGAGATGTTTCCACTGCTATCATTAGCGTTACTGAATGCAATTAATGCATGTTCAAGTCATCTTTAAACCATATAGTTCAAGTTTTGTAGCTCTTTTTATTCAGGCAACACAAAGCTTCAGGAAGGCTACAAAAGTTAATGGAGCAGCAGGGCAAATACTTCAGCATAGAGAAGACCACAATGCATTCCATACTACTGTTAGAATGGGGCTGATATTTAGTTTAGCTGGTTGGTTATAGTTGAGACTAAATTTTTAGTTTGATGCCTTAAATCCTTATTCAGTCAAGAACTCATCAAAATGTCAAAAACAGTAACCCTAAAGTGCTGACCAAATTTTTGTGTTTATTTTTCCTGAAATCATAAATGATAATTATGTATGGCATATTTGACAGGCTTCCCCCACAGACCATTTTACTTATCTGCATATCCTGTCTTCAAGAGGTCAGAAGAACTCTAGGATTTACCCTTGTCCATCTTGTTGCTCTTTATACGCTCCTGGCTCCTTCTTTAGTGTATTATCAGCGGGGTGGGTGGGCGTGGGGAAGGCATTGTGGTATTAGATCTTTCCCCACCTCTAGTGAAATTTTCAAAAGTGTGTCTTAGGTCCTGAATCACATCATGAAAAAAAGGAAACTTTATGACAGTGATCTATTTACAACTGTATACTATCTATGACAGTATTGCCAACACAGAATATCTTCCCAAGTATATGTTAGATAATGCCTAACATTAGATGTCCAATAATTTGCCCTAAGGAAACAACATATACAAAAGTACGTAAGAGCCCTATGAAATTACATTACATGCTGAATTTGCACAACTGTTGAAAAGAAGGCTGAAGAGGTGGCAATTTAAGTATTGCAGATGACATTAACATGAAAAAGAATATGAAAGTCTTTCCCTCGACTAATTTTCAAACCTTTTGGGGAGTAACTATTTGCAGTCTTATTTGTCACAAAAAACCAGCATGTTTGCTCATCCTTCTTCCTCACTGGATGTATCTGCAAAGTCTAGGAAATCACTGCAAGTCCTAGAATTGGAATAGATGTATTTTATATGTACTGGACAAACAAATAATAATAGCAAAGATATACAGACAAACCTGCCCATACAGAAATCAAAAAACTTTCTTATGTACTAAATATCCAATTAGCAGAAAAGACAATTTGGTTTTTGACTAAAGCACTGCACAGAAAATCAGACTGTTCCATCTCTAGTCTGCTCTGTGATCTAAAAGTAGGTTATTTCAATGACTCGTTTGCCTCAGGTTTTCCTCCTTAGGGAGTTAATAAAAATCAAGTCTCCTTTGCAAATGTTTGGATTTAAAGGTGAAAAGTACCATGCAGGTATCTTATTAAAATAATCTGATGAACTAGAAATGGTCAAATTATTTTAAAAAGTCAATGAACATTCATAGTTACTATAATAAATTATTGTCATACTCAAGAGTAGCATTTACAAACAGCTTATATCCAAGGAATCAATAAGGAAGGAATTAAAGGAAAGACATGGAGTGGGAGGATTCTTCTTCACAGAAACTTAGAGAGCACAAAGTGACTAGTAAATGCTTTTTCCATACAGCAAATGTCATTGGCTACTATGATTACATTTTAACATTTATAACATATTTTAAAGTAAGTATCATTTACAACTTCTGTGCGGAAGAACAGACACCTAGTTATTTTCTCTAATGTAATTACAGATGAGATTCAAGTAAAATATTAAAATAAATCCTTTATCTGGTAGAAAATATATTTTAATAGAGAATTAAAAATAAAATATTTGTCCCTTCCTACAACCAGGAAATACATCAAAAAATAGTATCTTCTTTGAAGCTGTAAAACTTGCTTAAAATTCAATGAAAAAAGAAACTTACTAGAGAATGACATTTCCTTCAAAGCAAAGTGTTGATTGAAATGGACTATATTTTTTTATGAATTTCCTTGTGTACATCCTGTAACACTAAAGGTGATGAATTGTTTATTTCAGAAGAACTCATACATATAAGCATGATTTTAGAAAGGTCACATGCAACAGATTGTGATAAGAATTTGTATATTTTATTATCACTTACTTCCACTCAACTGCACATGAGGAAATTATTCAAATTACAAAAAAGCTTACTGGAATGTTGATTTTAGCAAGATTTTTTTCTAAATTCCACTTTGTGAAACTAAAATACCAATTTTTTTAAAGAGAATATTTGTGAAACTTAATTACAAAAGTTTATTATTTTCATAGAATACAAAATGCTTGTACATTTTAAAATACTCAATGTTTCTAAAATATTATGGAGTTGATAAAAGTCATAAATTTAACACAGGTTCCCTCTAATTAAAAAAAGTGGTTCTCAAAATAAATCAACAATTCCCTAGTGCACTTATAAAGAGAGAAGATCAAAAGCAGGAACTGCTATCTTTCCTTCCAGTGTTAATTAGTAGTAATTAAAAATCTTAGCTTCATTAGTACCTACTCTGAAATAATTTGATTTTTTTTTTTGGATGGGGAAAGGGGATGTTACACAGACAAATTCTGCATGAAAGTCAGGAAAATTGAAACTGCTTGCCTTCATCACAGTTAAAAAAGGGTATGAAACTCTGTTATTTTCTTTTAAATACGCATCTTCCTTGTACACCTCAGCTTTCAGTTGGTCCTGAGTTGCATGTATTGCATTATTCTACTGGCCAAGTAACATCCTTTCTCTATGACAGTTCAGATATGTCTGATAATTTTAAGTAGACATAGAAGTACTAGCACTTTTTTTTTTTGGCATTGTACAGAAGTTGACAGCTCCTGCTATTTGGATTGACTGCAAGTCCTAAAGAAGAACTTCCTATATTTGGGGCAAGAGGGATAGGATGGGACTTGTCATTAATGAATGTCCCTTTATGGATTTCAAGGGTCTTCCATTTGCAATTTACTTCATGTCTTCAATAATGATTCCATTTTCACTTGCATTATCACAGCTCAATATTTCCTGCATACAAGGTGATCATCAGTATAGCAGTAAACCCCGTTAGCAAACCAGCATTCTGAATAAGGAAGAATGTAAGATCCATCTTTCTTCCTGTCACTTTCTCCCGCAGCATATCATTCATCTCTGGGAACTGGAAAAAAAGGATATTTTTAGGTAAGTATTGCCATCTCGTGGTGGCGTGCTTTATTTAAGGCATTAAGAACTGAACAATATTGCTACTTTGGACTGTGTATTAGAACTAACAGAGCATGAAGGCAGTCACAGGAACAGGTCAGCCTAATTACCCTGAAAAACTGCTCCACCAAGGATGGTGAAATGAAATGGTGCCTTGCTCCTCTCTATTGAGATTTCACCTGGTTGTCTCTCATGCAAATTTTCCCTTTGTGATTCCAGCAGTCTCCTAGGTTCTAATTGTTGGTTCATATGTTGCTAGGAGCAGCTGCCCTTGTATTACTAAATGTTGCGTTCCTTCACTAGCATAAACAGAGAAATCCTTCTTCAGGACGTGGAAGATTAGGATTTCTTTTGCTTTATGTAAAGGCAAAAGAAGTGAAGATGAAAACAGAGACAATTCCTCAGAAATAAGAAAGTACGTGTAGAAAGTCTGGTGGGCTTGTGAGGTCAAGCAAGAAGAAAGAAGACTGGTGTGAAAGTGGTGCTAACACATGCAATATTACATTACAGAGCAATGAAGGGAGTCTTCACTCCGTAATATGCATCTTAATGGTAACATAATAGCAAAGGATGCCTGCTGTGCTGCTGACTGCAGAAACAAATGTACTTCCTCTGAGGTGATGGCAGAAGAGCACAGGCAGGAAGTTCCCTGCATGGGATGATTCAGGGTGTGTGTTTGCTGCTGATAAAATCAACTACAGTAGATTTTGATAAACGTACTCAAATAAACTTTCTCTTCTCCTGTTCTGCTGGGAGTTGTCTAACCAGAACGCAATGAAGACAGTTTATTTCAGTCTTAGTTTGGAAACCTCCAGGCTAGGTGACTCAGAAATTGTATCTTTCTTTGATCTCACAACACAAAAAGAGCCATTGAAGGTAACACAATTCTTGAAGAACAGGTTAAGGCTAGCGGGAAGTGGCCAAACCTTCCCAGAAATCGTTCCAGAGCTCCGTAATACTCTTGCACAAGAGGCAATGGCAACAAACCAGATTAACTTCATGCCATACAACAAGGCTCATCTGTGCACACACCTCAGTGTACACATTCTCACCTGCCCACAGCCTCACCTCACAGTGATCCTATTGGCAGAGGTGGGATATGCCAATACTGGAAGGAAAAGGCACAGCAAAAAGAGAATGAGTAAGGAATGACATTCCAGTTAATCCTACCTGCTTCTGGACAAGCAAACCAGAAGTGTGTGAAAATCATAACAGAAAGCAGAAGGCCTGATCTCTGTACAGAGCACTTGAATACCCTATTTCAGACTTTTCAGGGGGAAGAAAAATTCAGATAGGTAACTGATACAATCCAAAAACCTATAAAAAGAGAGAGAGACTGGGGAGAAGGGGGGACAGGGAGAGAGACAGAGAGGAACAGAGAGAACAGAACAACAGATAAAAATAAAAGAATGTTACCTACTTTGATGGATTCATAACAAATTTGAGCCACTCTAAATCTATGCCATGAATTTTACACATCGTAGTTCAGTACATTACTATTCATTATATAAGAGTGAAACTAAATGAAAAGCATTAGCAATCAAGGTACTGCAAACTTATAAAATAAACTACTTATATTGTTTCTTTAATTCTAGGATATTACTTAAATTCTATGCTCTTTCCTAAACTATAATAGCATTTAATGGAATAGTCACTGTAACTACATGACAGCTCTTGAACACACATAGGAACAAACTGGGGACTTAAATCTTTTCAGATTCAGGCCTCACTCTTCCACTTCTACACTCAAATGGATTCTCTTGTGGCAGGTGTAAACACCTTTGCACCTGCTGCATCTGTTCTTACAACACTGAATTAAACATAATAAAACTTAAAACTCTTGAAAGACCTCTTTCATTTTGAGACAAAACATCATTATAAGAGGAAATTATGGAATATTGCTAGCTGCCTGTGAATCTAGATTTTATTTCCCAATGTCTAAATCCTATTTGGATCTTAGCACAATTTCTTTCGCTTATATCTTCTAGCATACTTTGAAAACTAAATGATAGACAGACTATTTTGCATAGAGCTCAGCAAGTTTTTCAGTCTGAACCTTGAAACTGGGGCTGTCACTGTTTAATTTCAACCAGAACAGAATTTAAATCAGGTTTTTCAGCTAAACAACCCGAAAATTATCACGGTGCTTACAAAACACCTTTCATTCAACTAAAACCTTAATACTTAACTTCATTTTGTTTACCTTTCTTTTTCTGCTTTTCTTTCACAATATGGTTTAAATAGAAAAATGAACCTTTTAAAGATAAGCTGAAATACTCTGATACTTTAAAATACTGAAACAACATATTTATACACTTTTTACTCTTTGATGAAACCGTTCATGAAAAACTCCTTTTCAGCAATAGTGTGATAGCCATATTTGTGAAGTGAAAGAGTTCCATGTTTCATGAACAAACATAACTATTTGTGCACGCCCACTAAGGGTATAATTGCTGATTTAACATCTAATAATAGTAATAATAATTAGATGACACTGGCATGAGAGCAAGAAAGTACTCAATTCTACTGGAAAGACTTAGTGAAATCTTTGTTTTCTTGCAGATAAAAAAATAACTGAAAATGAAATTATAACTCACCATATCTGCCAGAGAGATGTACAGGAACATTCCACCAGCTACTGCAAAGATGATGTTAGGAGCAAAGTTGTTGCCTACTAATATACCAAAAGCCAATCCAATGTAACAAGAACATGCAGACAGAAAATTGAAAAACAGAGCCTGTCGAGTACTCATTCCTGCATTAAGCAAGATGACAAAATCCCCTAAAAGAATAAAAAAAAGAGAAAACCATTTTCAGAAAGTGATATTGTGGTTATTTTCTGATTTCAAAGGAACTCTGAAGAAAATACATGATTAGTATAACTCCCTGCTGTTTTTCTTCATTCAAGTACATGATGAGGATTTCCCTTCAATACTAAGGAAACTGATATATTCTAAATAAATAGGTGATGCAAGATTGAGCTAAGAGCATGGGAACACACACCTACTTACAATGATTTTTGTTTTTAAAATTAATTAATACAACAATGTATGCAATATATATATGAACAGGATAATTAAAACCTTTCCAATATACAGTCACAGCTTCCACCCACCTGCACTAGGGAACTTCCTGTGCCAGATGTGTATTTTGATGCTTGGGAACTTCTTGATGAATATTTTTTCGATTAATTTGTCTAAACTTTCTTTCAATCTATGCACGACCTCCCACAACAGTGATTTCCACAGTAAACAATATGAAGTTCCTTACCTAATTCATGAGGAAACTCTTCACACAGGATGGCTATGGAGGTACTAAGCCCTTGAAGCAGAGACAGAGTGAAAGAAGCACCAATAGCCAAACCATCTATGAAATTATGTACAGCATCACTCAGTGTTACCATCCAAGCAATGGTCCCAATCTTTGACAGTGGACGCCCATTAAGACACTTGCATAAGCTGCTTTGGGTGGCTTCTTCCTGGGAAAAAAAACAACACAATAAAGCAATTACATGAAACACTGAATAAAGAAGCCAATAAATCATGCTCCTATCTTTAAATGAATGACAAGTATAAACTAAAGCACTGCTGCATACAGAGATCAAATTGCTTGGTCCAAGAAGCAAAAGGCACAGGTAGCAGCACCAAATGTTTTCCTTTTCAACAAGTTAACATGCAGGGCCCAATCACCCTTCTGACTACAAAGCTTCATCTGAATGCCCTTCAGCTGAGAGAGCAGTTCAGGCCATAGTGGTCTGAATGTCTCTCCGGAGTCCCTGTCAGGTAAAGAGTGTCTCAAGGCTCCTCACAGCCTCCTCAGCCACCACTATTAAGCATGTACAGTCAGAAGGATCTGATCACATTGACTGACAGCATCTGTATTTAAAACACAACTGCCAGTACATCATGCTCTCAGAGACACACCTGCTGCATAACAGCCAGGTACACGTGAATATAGACACATTAAGATATTCCATAAACTTTATTTCTAATTTTGGGCAATGATAGTCAAATCTAGCTATTCAAATTAGTTTCTACAAAGTGAATGTTTAATAAAAACAGTAATGGATAATTCTGACTGTGCAAGTTAAAGGCTCAGAGTATGAAATCAACAGGCTAATATAAAACTGCAATGCACATACACTCCAGGGATCTCACTAATTCCTCCCAAAGTGGAAGTAATTTATACATGTGGTGCCACAAAATAATGAAAAACTTGAAGCAGATAAAAGGAACTGCCATTTTAGCTGTGAGTACAAACTAAGCCCCCTAAAAATTTCTGGTGATCCATTCTGTTAAATTTCTGTACACACATAGAGTATTTACAGGATATATGCAAGCATTGTAGTATTTCCCCCACTAAAAAAAAATATTTGCTTATAAGGCATTAATGAGTACTCACTTACTGGAATACATAAGCAGCAATACATACATCTGTGTGCCTATAGAGATACTTATCGCAGAATCACAGAACAGATCAGTTTGGAAGGACCACAGTGGGTCATCTGGTCCAACCTCCCTGCTCAAGCAGGGTCATCCTAGAGCACATCAAACAGGATTGTGTCCAGACAGTTCTTGAATATCCCCAGTGAGGAAGACTCCACACCCTCTCTGGGCAATCTGTTCCAGCGCACGGTCACCCACACAGTAAAGAAGTTCTTCCTCATATTCAGATGAAACTTCCTGTGCATCAGTTTCTGCCCATTGCCTCTTCTTCTATTGCTTGACAGCACTGAGAAGAGCCTGGATCCTTCCTCTTGACACCCTCCCTTCAGATACTTGCATACATTGACAAGGTGCCCTCAGTTGTCTCTTCTCGAGGCTGAACAGACCCAGCTCCCTCAGCCTTTCCTCGTAAGCGAGATGCTCCACTCCCCTAATCATCCTTGTCACCCTCCACTGAACTCACTCCAGGAGCTCCATGTCTCTCTTGTACTGAGGAGCCCAGAACTGGACACAGCACTCCAGATGCGGCCTCACTGGGGCTGAGTAGCAGGTTAGAATCACCTCCATCAACCTGCTGGCAATGCTCTTCCTAATGCAGTCCAGGATACCATTGGCCTTCTTGCTACAGAGTCACAGTGGTGGCTCATGGACAGCTTGTTGTCCACCAGGACCCCCAGGTCCTTCTCTGTAGAGCTGCTTTCCAGCAGGTCAGCCCCAAGCCTGTGCTGGTGCAGGGGGTTATTCTGCCCCAAGTGCAGGACCCTGCAATTGTCTTTGTTGAATTTCAGAAGGTTCTTCTTTGCCCATCTCTCCAACATGTCGAGGTTCTTCTGAAGGGCTGCACAGCACTCTGAGGTATCAGCCACTCCTCCCAGCTTTGTATCATCAGCAAACTTGCTGAGAAGGCATATTCTCCTTCACCCAAGTCACTGATGAATAGGTTAAACAGTACTGGGCCTGATATTGAAACCTGGGGGACATCAGTAGTGACAGCCCTCCAACTAGACCCCGTGCCACTGATTCCGACCCACTGGGATCTGCCATTCAGCCAGTTCTCAGTCCACCTCACTGTGTGCTTATCCAGTCCACACTTCCTTAGTTTGCCTATGAGGATGTTGTAAGAGACAGTGTCAAAAAGGTTGCTAAAGTTAAGGCAGACAGTATCCACTGCTCTCCCCTCATCCATACACATCTCAGTCTCTTGTGGTAGAGGCATGTAGAGGAACACCTCTTTGTCCTTTATGAGAAGGCCACAGAGTATTCCAGGAAATTTTCTTTTGTTATTAAAAACAACATTGCAAATTATTTTAGTTTTGCCATATGCAAATACTACCAGGCAACTGAATTTTGAACTACAAGGAAATACAATGATTAATAAATTCTTACAAAATCTCTAATGACAGAGCAATAAGGACTGTCTCATGATTTGTTCACCAGACTCTTATCTGACTACATTCTTGTATTAGGAGCTGTCTTGGGACAGCACAAAAGTTCAGGTCGGGAATTTCCAAGTCAGATGCTTGTTGCACTGTCTGGAACTCATAGATAATAAAGCCTTGCTTGAGTAGTGCCAAAACTACCACAAAGCACACTTACAGCTCCTATTCAGTCCATAGGAAGTTCTGAAATTATACTTTCATGATGCAAAAAATGAACAATGGTATTAAAAAATTGGGAGTTTCCCTGATGACTCAAACATGTAGTTTTAGACTTGTACTACAGGCTTGCCTTTACTTTTTGAAAGTTTTCCTCTCAACATTTCATCCAACACAAGCAATGCCAATCACGTTTTTGAGGTGGTTTATTTGTACCTGTACTGTTTCTGCTTGAGATAGGACCAATTATGAGTGAGTAATAGACCAATTCCATCAATTCATGCAGCTCTCTGAGCTGAAGATATGCTCTCTTATGTTATTTTCTGTTCCCTGGTGACCATCCTTCAAGCTGCCTATGAACTGGTGGAGGCGCTGTTTTGTATATCATCTTAATTTGTGCCAAAAACACATCTTTCTTGCATGTGTTTCTAGTTTCACTGAGGAAAGGGAGTTTGAGACAATGCACAGATTTTTGTTTGAACAATTAACTCTGAAAATACAACAAGTATTTTCAGATAAAGCAGCAATATTAATCTCAGGAAATTGTATTTTGAAAAGACATGTTAGCAACTTCTATTATACATGAGAAAGAGGTGATGGTTTTGTTCTGTAAAAACTTTCAATTATCAAAAAATTCTCACATCAAATGCCAAGCACTTCTATAAAATAAATGGTTTTATGAAAAAAAAGTTTATTAGGATGAAACTTCCTGAAAGAACAATGAAAACAGTGAGCAAATAATACAGGTGAGCAAAAACGTCACTTGTACACACTTGTTTATATGCCAAAGCACAGTTGGTTTTTTGTGGGAACCATGTGTGTGCATATGGCTTTCTGAGGGCTGTAATGGTACAACTGGCTTGGCCACAGAACTAGGTAAAGGACCCATTTTCTGGCACAGCTGAGAATTCCAATGACAGCCCAAAGCGGTGTATATGTACGACAAATACAAAAATCTGATCTGAAGGGCTTTTTAGTGAAATAAATAATTTACAAATATACATGCTGAACTTTCTATGCATCTAATAAAAAAATGAACATTGAGTAAGAAGATACTATTAAGAATCAGTGTTGAGTCTATCAAGAATGGAACTGACTCTAGAAAAGTGCTGAGGTTTGGGTTCTTTTATCTATGTACTTTTTTTAAGTAATTGGAATTAATTTAAAATACCAGTTTTGATTTACTTCTAAAAATTACCTTCTTAATCAGATCTTTCAAAATGCAGAAATAACTGTAATTTAAAAACTAGAAAACAGTTTCTGAGAGGCTTCTGCAATACATATATGGCTATCTGCCATTTACTGTGTCATTCTGAAATATCATAATTCTTGCATGTAATCTATTGTAGATAATGTCTTGACAACTTCTCTAAATCATATAAAGTACAATGAAATTGCTTGTCTGGATTTATATTCTGAACTTTACTAGATCGTGTGTCCAATAGAAGAAGATGAATGAGTAATACCTGTTCTTCATGTTAAAGATAAGGCAGACAACTGACAAAATTACCCTACAAATATATAGGATTTCAAGGCAAAAAATGAACAATGTCTGTTTCTGCTGGACTATTCCTACTTTTTCATGGTAGTTTAGCAGACATCACAGAAGATATGACAGCTAAGGAACTCTGTAATACCCAGCTGGACTATCAGGTCTAATTTTTATTAATTATTAATGCAGTTCTGTATTATTTGTAAATCTACAGTTTATGGAAAACCAAAGATGTCCTTGGTATTTTTCCTCTTCTAGACACAGAGGGTTTTTTAAAAGTAATGATCTCTTCTCTGTTCCCAAAATTAAAAAATTATACAGAGCCTCTCTTATTTTATCCCATGATATCTGAGATTACTATTGCTATTTCTAATGCATCTCTGATTCCCTCAGACAGGAACCAGACATGTCCTTTCGTATTCTCTAGAAATGCCCACAGGACCAAGAAGGAATCCTGACACTGACTCTGGGGAATAAATAAAGGCCACTGTAAAGTTTTGTTATACAACTCTAACACTCAAGAATAGACATTTCAGCAACTCATCTCTGAAAAAATTTTTCTTCAAAGTTACTGTTGTCAAGCCATATTTCAATGCATAGTAGATACAAACTTTGGGTAGAACACAAAGGAGGTTTCCAAGGTTGCAATTACTGCTTCAAGTGAAAACAGAAAGTAAGTGACTAATTAAACATTTACTCTGGCAGTCAATTTGTTCTGGCATTAAAGGAGAGAATATAGCTGGATCCCCACAGCTGAAAACAGTTACCACATCTCAGCACAGTCTGGCTTCAAATTCCCTCCTTAAAGACATCATGATGATTTCTGACGATGCTGTGTTTGGCCTATTTAATAAGCAGTAGATTATGAGAACACATTAAAATTCTCTTAGGTATGTGTTGGCTTATGCCAAAGGGTTTCTTCTTTATTTCTTTCTTAAATACTATATGCCTATAAAGTTGAATGCAAACCTACCCTCATGTCATTACCAAACTGCACCAAAACACCTCAGCCACACTGGCCCTCCCCTGCCCCCTAATGACTCCAAAGACTACCTGGCCCCTTTGAACCTCACTGGAGGAGGACAAGAGTAATGATGGCTTTTTTGTTGCTACCTACAATATCATAGAATAGTTAAGTTGGACCACTAAGATTGAGTCCAACCACTAACCTAACACTAACAAGTCCACCACTAATTCATGTCCCTAAGCACCGCATCTATGCATCTTTTAAATACCTCTAGAGATGGTTGCTCAACCACTTCCATAGGAAAGCCTGTTTCAATGCCTGACAATCCTTCCTGTTAAGAACTTTCTCCTAATATCCAATCTAAACCTCTCCTGACACAACTTGAGGCTGTTTCCCCTTGTCTTGTCACTTGTCACTGGGGACAAGAAACTCACTCACACCTTGCTACAATCTCCTTTCAGGTAGTTGTAAAGAGTGAGAAGGTCCTCCCGAGCCTCTTTTACTCCAGGCTAAACACCCCCACCTCCCTCAGCCATTCCTCATAGGACTTGTGCTTCAGACCCTTCACCAGCTCTGTTGCCTTTCTCTGGGCACTCTCCAGCATCTCAATGTCTTTCTTGTAGTGAGGGACCCAAAACTGAACAGAAGATTAGAGGAGCGGCCTCAACAGTGGTGAGTACAGGGGAATAATAATTTCCCTAGTCCTGCTGGCTATGCTGTTTCTGATACAGACCAGGATGGCATTGGCCTTCTTGGACACCTGGGCTCACATTCAGCTGTGGGTTATGTGACACCAAAATTTCCTTACAGCCAGCCTTGTCTCCAGAGTGAATTTTACCCTGTTACTTTCAAGATGATTTAATACAACATATTCTCTTCCTGGATTTGCAGAAATGGAGAGAAAGAAAGATTGAAGGGCATGAATTTTTATAAGAACAATAAGTAGAAGAGAAGACCTGTGTGAAATTTTAAGTTCTTAAGACTGCATGTAAAAGGAGATGTATATTCCACAAAGGATCTTGGGGTGACCTACAATGTTTCATGGTCACAAGCGTCTCATCTAAACTATTTGTTAGAAATAAATCCTATATAGTTGCATTTTAATATTCTAATATGTGATATGATTTTGTTATGTTTAAGTTATGCATAAGCAGATGGCTAGCCAAAAGGTAACAGTGGAATAGGTCCAGATGTAACTTCTGGTACAGGACAGAAAAACAATACCCATAACACTAGAGCTGACTGTCTCTGCAGAGAGCAGAGTGTTCTTCTGTTTGTTTCATAAATCTACAAAATACAGCTTAGGGACACTCATAATACTAATTCCCTCTTGGTGCCCATATGATTTTAAGTATATTTCTCCTAGTTTTTGAAACATCCAGTATCCACCACACTTCATGACATTTCTACAGTAAGGACAAGTATAATTTTGTTGCTTTAAACTGTGTGCATCAAATGCCCTGTGAGCCTGCAGGGTCAATGCAGAACTCTCATATTTTCTCCTGGCTGTTAGGGCATGCCTCTGGCTTGCTCTCCTGCTTGCTCCTCTCTGCTCCCCACAACCAACTTACTGGGTAAAGAACATGGGTGGCAAACCAGAAATCTCTACTATGAAAAAAGTTTGCCTTGGACATTCCAGATTTTTTTTAATGTGTTTTTAATTTTTTATAAGTAAGAGACAGTACTGCTCCTCCCTGCACAGGGGAAAAGACTAAAGAGGCACAAAACTTTCTCTTCCTACTTCCATTTTCTTCTCAGACAGAAGGAAGTTGTATTTGCAGTATGAAAATAAACACAAAGAAATACAGAGAAAAAAATCTGAAAGATAGTAACACTTAAACCAGGAGGAATGGCTTCTGTATCAATACATGACATCCATAATTCTCATAGTATCCAAACATACTGAATTATGACAAGCAGTGTTCACAATATACTGCATGAAAGTTACTGTATTAATTTTTTGTATTAAGTTACTGTATTATTCAAAGGAATCGGGTCCTCACACGTAACAGCTTTACATAATCAGGAACACCACAGAGATCACACAACACTAAAATACACTATCCCTCTTAAAGCAAAACAACAAAACAAAATCAATATTAACCAAATTATCTGATTAAATACATCTCTGTGTCCTATGCATTCAAATACTGATATAAAATAGCCCTTTTTGCTGGCTACAAATTGAATGCATCATTCAGCTTTTGTAAGCTTGCCCCAAAACCTCATTATTTTTTTTCATAGACCTCAAGCAAATTATAAGCTCTAAGTTTACAAAAATTTACAAAAGTAATAAAAATTCATATTAACTCTCCCCTCAGATATGCTTATATAATTGGCAGGAATACAATAAAAAATAGACACAATTTTCATACCTGTGCTGAGACCACACTGATGCTGTCAAAGCCAAGATTTCCATTGCTCTCTATGACGGCTGAATTTGCGTAACACGCCCCCCCATTACTGGATGACAGTGGTTTGGGTGGGTTAGTTTTATCCTGAGAATGACTCTCTTCACCATTTTCAAAGTAATTATGGCCAGTCTAGGTGACAAATAAATAAGTAGGAGCTAATTAAACCAAAAGCAAAATAGCAAACATAAGAAAATAGAGACAAAAATGAAAAGGTGGGTGCATCATACTCTTGCTGCCTTGTTTTCAACACCAAGTGATTGTTGAAATGAGCAGCAGTAAACATTTCAATTTTTCAATGAACACCAAAAGTATCTAAGTTCCTAACTTATCTCTTACTTTTAGCTAATCAGAATACATGTGGGATTTTTAACTTTTACACCTTTATGTAGAACCTCCCAAGCCAAATTCCTAACCACAAGTGACCGACATTTGCTAGTTATTCATGGTTGCTTGTCAAATAGATCTTATTAGCCTTTGTCAATTGTTTACAAAAATGAAGAGTAACAAATTTGGGTTTTCTATTTTTAGCTATTACCAACGAGGGGCAGTTGATCATCATAATTTTCAGTACCAGCAATACTTTGGGAGGAGGAACCTTAAGAGAGGTAAGAGTAGGACAGTTTTCTTTCACAAGTAATGAGCAGAGAGGACCAAAATTTTGAGGTCCCCTTCTCTGAGACAAAATCAGCCCCACTGACGTGAGTACACAGCAAACAAGTACTCTGACATATGGGTAGAAAGCAGAGTGATGGGCAGTAAGAGATAACTGCAGTGTTCACTAAAGCAGGTCTGTGTACTACAGCATGGGGAAACACAGAGCTGAAGTCACTGAAGGAAAGATTCAGGTCCTATCAGCATGGTTACACTTTGCAGGTGACTAAGAAGGTATAAATGTCACATGGATTTCTCCTGCCCAAAGGGGAGACTCCATGGGCAGACTCCATTCTCTCCAGCTGTTAGGTATTTCCATCCTTTTCTGATGTGTTTTGCTATCATGGCAACAACTTGGCTGTTGAGAGCAACTGAAACATCTTCCAGTGAGAGCAGATCACACTCACATCTGGATTCTATTCCCAGTGCTGCTTGTAACTCCTTCAAAAAAGTGAGGTTGCTTCCCCTATTCATATAGATTTTAAACAGTTATATCAGAACACACGGTAGGGCTGAATTCCTCAGATAAAATAGAAAAAAACCCACTCATTTTATTTAACTAGCAAGTATCTCATAAAATATGACAGGTACTTTAAGGCAAGGCTTGTTCAGTTAGTGACAGGTTTCATTACCTGGTGATAGATCTTTAATATCACTTTAAGAATCCTTTCCACAAAAAAGAGAATATAGAATCCACCAAACACAGCAACTGCCTTCTCAACATAGTTATCTACTTTCGGGTCAAACCCAAACGCCTAACAGTGAAGAAAAAAGCAATGCAAATTAGTCTGTAATCTTAATACATTTCCAGAAAAACAAACAAATGCCACACCACACAGATACCCCTTTATTATAAAAACTGTCTCTATACCCACCACCAGTTTCCATGAGCTGAAATTGTGAAAAATCCTGATCCTTTAAATTTTTTAAACTTGGATTAAATGTTAACAGTGTAGCCCAATAAAGTTCACTACAATTTTATCCAATGCATTTCTCTTTCTGTCTAAAGGCAGAATAGCCCATGAACATTGTTCCCCAATGAACAATAAGACAGAGATCTTGATGGCTCTGACTCATCCCAGAAAGGGATCATAGCTAATGGCACTGAAACCCACACAAAACTCTTTGGAGACTACAACCCACACACAGAACCCCACAGCAGCATGCTTCTAAAATTAATATACTTTAGAAACTAGTATGCAAACTAAATAATGATTCCCCTTGCTTACCTCTGGAATGAGCTGGAAAATTGCATTAGAAAAGAGAGTACCAATGGCCAAACCCACAAAGTAAGTTAAAACCTTGGGGAAATACGACTTCTTTAAGAGAGGAGTTAAAATCAATCCCAGAAGCGATGCCAAGTTAATGATAGTCACAGCCAGGAACCCAAATCCCCAAACTGTGGATAAACAAGGAGAAATACAAAATATTTTAGTATAACACCCACTTCAATCTGCTTGTGATTTCTCTAATTGCTAAATTGTAAAAATGGAATTAGTAAAAAGAGTGGTTCCTTGATTGAAATTAAAATTCACAAATATGTAATTCTTAAGTTAAGACGCACACCTGCAGAAAGGAAATACCTGAAAGCACTGTCTGGGACTACCATATTAAAAATGGAAACTGTGCTAGTATAAGTATATATATACGGGCTAGCCTATATGCTGCTAATATAAATCAGGTCTCTGTACAGCCAATAAAGAGTAAAAATTAAGGCTTAGGCTAAAAACTGAAGTAGCTATAGCATAGAAATAAGACAAAACTTGTCACTAGTCCTAGAGTCAATTGCCATTTAATGCCAAGTAAATTGCCATTTACTTCTAAGGAACTCCAAGACAAGAAGGCTACTGTCTTGGCTGTACTAGATACAAAAATCCTTCCTGATAATGGATGACTCCTTTAAATCACCCTGAAGTGGTATCTCAGTCCCTAACACTCCTCCCTCCTTCTCTTATTCAAAGAAGTTCTGCTGGCTGAAAACGCTGCCCATCACCACTTATCAAACAGGTGGGTGACAGACAGCTCATAGTTGAGACAATTATAACAGAGAAATGAAAGTGCATTGAAAAAGAGGTTCTAGGTTCAAAAAGAAGGACGTACAATTTAGGTACACAATGGGGAAAACTTTTTCTAAGAAGCAGCAGAGGCACCAGAGTTCACCATAACTTTGTTTCCTTCAGCATAAGCATAGTCTCAGATTTTTCATGTTCAGACACAAGGACTTGCACAAATCCATACCATAATAATTCTGGAGTCTGAATTATAGGATGGAGAGGTGTGGTGTGGTTGCTGTTGTTGCTCATAAGCATCACAAAGTCATGCCTTTATGCATGATTACTGTTTTTCCCAGTGACATTTCAAGTCACTGTGAGTACAGAGAAAAGCTTTAAAAGTTGCTCTGAAGAGGTCTACAACGGTGCCTCAAGTGATGCCACAGAACCACAAAGTTACCCACACAGACAGAGGGTTTGTCTGTAAAATTAACCACAAATAATAATCAGAGCCAACACCACGTTGCCTAGATGAGAACAATTTGGTATAATCCAGAACGCTGCATCATTATAAGCTTGTGTGTATGTAAAAAAGTTGCATGGCAGAAACTAACAGATCAGATCTGCAGCCTTACTTTTCTGGAACACAACTGGACACAACAAACTAGATTACTCACCTGCTACCAGGATGGCTCTATTTTTTTGCAGAGTGTCACAATTTTTATATATAATGACATATTATGTCGAGAACAGAATCATTAGAAACATTTAAAGTATTCAAAGAGAGTGTATCACTGCCAATTAGAACATTAACTTGCCAGTTTTGAGGGAGATACACAGAGAGCAGGAAAAAAACACAACTAGATGTGGGTAGATTCACTAAGCTACACAGGAGTTTAATTTCCATTAAAATAAATGACAATTAAGCTTGCAAATATCTTTCTGAAATCAAATTTATAATAAACAAATGGGTCTGCAATGTCATCAGGAGTCACAAACCACTGTTTACAGTTTGGGATTACTACAGAAGCATGAGTCTCTTTCAGTTCAGTGTATGGACATCTACACATATTCTATGCAAAAATGTACATTTTAAATCGAGTTAAGAAAATAAAAAAGTGACAAAATTCCAAGATAACCAATGTTGCCAAAGTTCCTGCATTACAGATTGTATTTCACAATGAAGTATGCACTGCTGTCTTAAAAATTATTTTATTCACTAGGACTCCATCCACACTAAGTTTTTCATGAGTCCACACACCTCAGAAATCTGAGATGCCAGAGCAGGGTACTCTGAACACATACTCTCTCTTCCCCTGGGACTGGTGGTGCAGTCAGCTTTAGCCAACTACTATTATTCTTTCTGTCTCTAGAACTGTAGACCCAATAAAGAGACAGCCAAGATACCCAAAGACTCAAGAAATCAAAAAAATAGAATTGCAGAAGTGCAAGTAGATGGCCTCCTTAGAACACCATTGCTCAGCATTGCTCTTTATAAGAACAAGCAGGCTCAGGCTCTTCCTTAGCCTTGGCCTAGGATGAAGAGGAAAAAAGTGCATGAATACCTTTCTAAAGAAGTCAAGCAAAGAGCACAGAAAATGTTCACCTTGGACAGAAGGAATGCCACTGGGAACTTCCAGCATTTCATACAGGTCTCCCTATTATCTTTCAGAGAAGCAAGTTAGGGAAGGACTTGAGTGTGCCCCTAAGGCCAGCTAGGTTAGATATGAGTTATACAAATCCCAAGAAGAAACACGTGATATGTGTTGCCTTCCAACTTCTACTCTGCTTTGTCAGCACTTAATTTTTATTTCAAATAGTTGTTCTGTAAAGCTCATTGTACCGGTTTCTTCTGTGCGTCTTGTCCATTAGTATTTCAGAAGACAGTATATTGTTAAGTGAATGGGAGTCCCTGGGGAGAAAATTCACAGGAGCACAGATATAAACATGCACAGAAGATTTTGCTTCATGGGCAGTAACTGAAATCACCTGATGCCAGTGCTGTTGCAATACACATTCATTTTGTGATGAGGTGGGGGTGTGCATAAATCAACAGCTGCATTTGGCACTGGGCCTTCCTGTGAATTTCTGTTCAAAATAGGTACCACTATGTGTCACAGCCTCATACCCTTGTGGTTTAAAATACTCTACATGGGCCTTGCAGATTTCTTGCACTGCAGCCAAGGGAGAGGCAGGGAGAAAGCTGCCTTGCTTATCTGGCTACTGGACATTGCTTCTGAGCCTGAGGGATAAAAGAAAAACAAGAAGGGTGGTCTAGATATCTTAGGAGGTTAACTGTAGGTCAAGGATTCCATGTACAACCTACTTAAACAGTTCCCCCCAACAAAAGAAAAAAAAAGAGAAAGACAGATCCTACTCTCTGGTGCAGATATTATGGACTTCTTGGCAATATGTGTCTTCATATGATACAAGCAATCTAGAACAGTCATAGTAAATTGGTGATATGATTTCAGTGATTACTCAAGTAGGATTCTAATCTTTCAATGACACAGCTAAGCTTTAGGAATTACCTCTAATTCTTAATAAATATGATCACCTATATTAATCAGAATGTTATTAATGCTAGTATTTCAAAAGTTATGAAAAAACACTTTTCTATCTCTTCTCATAAATGCTGGCATTAGGCACCAACTCATCCAAAATCCTAACTTTTAAGTTTAATTCAGATGACTCCCTTGGAGTAGTAAATTTATTTGTGATACTGAGTCAAATCAGTGGGTCATTCTATATTTGATCCTTATCAGTGAAACAAGTTACTTCATTAACCAGCTGAATATCTTCCCTGTCCTTTGTTTTTTACTGCACCATACACTTATGTGCACAATAAATACGGAAATAATAGTAAGAAGAATAGGAGGAAGGAAGACTAAGGCTACCTAGCCATGTGATGATATTCCGCGTGGAGGGGTCATCACAGAAGATACATGAAAGCAGGAGTCAGAATTTGGAAGGAATATTTTTCCTCACAAAAACAATCGCTGGCTCCCCTGATGTCATGACTCCCACCTGCAAATATCTCCGCTCAAATGCAGCCCCCTAAGTAAACCTTGTATTGCCCTGATACATGCAAATCCCTGTTAGGTGATTTCCCATTGCAAATCACCTGCACAAACTTCCCTTCTGTACTCCCATCTTCTCTCCTATTAACCAGCTGTTAGCGAGACTCCTTGTGTTTGTTTAGATGGTCTGCTAACCCGAAACAACATATTGTTTTTCCACTTTACAACCATATCCTCTTAAACAAGACACTCCTGTTATCTATAGATAAATGCTTACTATTCCCCTAAGAAAACCCCACTCCAGTCACAGTATTAATATTAATTAATATTAACTAACCTTGTAAAGAATGTGGTTTAGATGTATCCTCAAAGTTTTCCTGATGATCACATGGGTGAAAAATTAGCTGTTGCAAAACAGCGGGACATATTGTAGAGAAGCTGGAATTTGATATGAGACTGTTGTTTGGTATCCCATGCAAAGAAAAAATTTCTTCACTAGTCAAGCACTGAAACAAAAAGGGATTTTTGCCAACTTAATACATTAATGAAAACCCAAAAATTCATACATTGAGAAATCCAAGAATTACATGAAAATAATGTAGTGCGTTTTCAAGGAAGTCTATGCAGTGTTTGTACGCTGAGCATGAAAGCACTGTGATTGCTTAATGTGAGGCAGAAATGATTCAAAGTATTTTAAGTGAGATAAACCAGAAATCAATACAACATATTTGAAAGAGACATTTGCAAATCTTGTGCCCTATGAACCAGGACAGTTAAATCCTAAAATATATTTGGAAAAATAGCTTCAAAGTAAATAAAATAGTATGTAATTACAAAATAATTACTTTTAAGAGCAGAATAAATACATTCAAAACCTCAATGACAGAGTATGTGAGAAAATGACTAGTAATTCAGTGACAGTTTATTCATACAAGTGACCACTTCTGTGTTACAACAACACTTCTTATTTATTTCCCCCAATTAACTGCTTAAAAATGGTCTAAAGCTTACCAGCGCTCAACGTTTTTCATTCATCTTACAGCAATAACCCTTAAGAGCAAACATTGTTTTGTAGAGCTTTCCTGTACTCCAATGAGATACACTCCTACTTTGGATCTTCACTTTGCCTTCAGCTTGGGATATAACAGTGTCTGATGGGTCAACAATAAACGCACTTGGCAGTGCTAAACCAGGCCAGGGCAGGGCTGGTTCCTGTGCTGGTCACTTTCAACCAAAAAGATAAAATATAGACCAAGAAATATTGTAAAATATACATCTACAGAAAAATTGAGTGTTTTTATATGAAATGTTCCAACCTGTTGAAGTCTTTCGCCTAACACTTTCTGTTAATTCACATTCTTTATTTCCTACAATAATAAGGAAAAAGTGCTCTCTTTTTGAATGTCAGCAAAAGTGATTTGACATTGCTGCACAACAAACACACACCAAGGTTAAGTCTTGGGACCAAAAAAAGTCAAATATTTTCCTTCTATAGGAGACATCAATTACAGCATAACTCTCCCTGTAGCAAATCTCAGTTGCAAAAGTAGAGCATCAGAAGTCTTGGCAAAATAAAAACACATGTTCCCTTGCTGCTCTTTTCAGTTTTGCTACCTTTCAGATTCCATAGCACTTCTCCAATAATTCAACAATATTATTTATGAAGCGATTTCCTTCTAGAGACAAGCTGAAGCAACTGCAAGTTATTCACTTCAACTTCCATTTCCGTTAATAAATAATTTTGTAATACTGTCCAAAAGGTGAAAACATGTGCACATCACTTGAAAGTGGCTCTTTCTGATTAAGCTTGGAGGAAAAGAACATGCAGGCCAATTCAAGCGACTTCAGCTAAATTACATCCAGGATATTTCTATCCTTCCTCTTTAATGACCCAGCCTAGCAAAGCACTCAAATACATGCTTGAACTTAAACATAAGTGTAAACTTTGTTAAGGCCATGAGACCCTGAAGACTCAAATATAGAGAAGTGAAGTACATATAATTTCATCTTTCAACGTCAATGCTAATGTCAAAGAAGTAACACATATAAAATAAACACAGCTTGATAACAGAAGATTTTTACTTTAAATCATGTTGTTCCATTTAATCTCAGTGGAAGTAATGCATAAAGAAATCATCACTTAAGATGCAGTCTTTTACAGACCAATACAAAAAACTCTGGAGCTCTCTAAACTGGTTATGTGCCATATCATTTTCCTGTTAACGCTGCATTATGGAATAATTCAAAATACATGGCTAATATGCCTACAGTGAAACAAAGGGAGAATACTTGAGGTCTACAGGAATAGTTCCTGTATGGTGCTTATTACTGGCTCATAGAGCCATTCCTGGAACCTGTGGTGAAAAGCCCTTAAAAAACAAGCCACTAAGAGCTAAGAATTTATAACATAACTATCTCGAAGAGAAATCACCTTTAACTATCTCATTCCTGGAAATACAGAATGAATTATTAGTACTTTAAAACACCAGTACATTGGTATTAACATTAGTTCACAAAAATCCAAACAATGTTGTAGGTAAGAAAACATATTATGGAGAGAAAATAAGTCAGACACAGCATGAATTAGTAAACTTGAGACTTGTAACTTTGCCTACATACAAACACGTAAGTGAGAAATACCATTGGACAAGAGCTCTTACATGTGAAATTGAGAAACAGCATTTTATTTAATTACTATTATTATTTCGATCAGGGACAAACCTAGAGGATAATGATTCTTATAAATGATTCATTGTCATAAGTCACCTCATACTCTCAGTAAACTCCTACATACGTCTAAGAGCTAAAAAGCAAGCTTGCATGTGTTCCCTAGCACAATTAAAGGATTAATTAAAAGACTGAATCTATTAGAATTCTTGAACTGGAGCAATGCATGTTTGCACACTGCAGAACTCTGCATTTGGAGGATAAATAAATACATTAACACAGGCACACTGCTGTAAAAACATGCAGTATTTATTTTGTAAGACTGACAGATGATCTCAGCAGAAAGAAAATTTAGCCTCATAGAACAGGGGACTGAAAACGATGTCCTGACTCACCAAGTCTACTGTTATGTCTATCCCCTACTATTCAGTAAGACTTATTACAGTGATTAGGTGAGGGGACTGGCTGTAATATTACTGTCACCCAGTGTTTAGTAAACAATTGCAAAAAAAGATATAACAAGATTGTGCTGAACTTTCAAGAAAATGTTTTTAAAAATACTTTCAGCAAAATTGGGGAGGACTTATATCAGTAGAATTTACACAATTACAAAATATTCCGACTTGGAAAAAATTAAACCATCAACTAGGTTATTCAAAAACATGCTTACTTTTATCCTGCTAAGGCTCTCCCAAAAATGACTGACCAATTTGGGATTCCTCTAACTGGAAAAATTAAAAAATATGACGGTAACAGCTGTCTTTTAAATGCATCAGTCCCTGTGTTCTTCTCGTTGCTCTGCCTGTTTTATCTGTAGCATTCCACATAAGAAATACTTAAACACCCAACAGCATCCTGGACTGCAGTTTCTAGATGTTGCTAGATTAAATACCAGCCCAGCCCTGGGCTGAGCAATGGGTTCCACAGTAGCAATAGCAAAGAAAGAATGCAGTGAATGCCTATCTGACCAACTTTTTTTTTTTTTTAACTTAGTCTGACCCTGGATAAGGCAAAATAGAGACATACAACTATGTCTTCCTCAACTTACTAGTAATAAATTAAATCATCTAATGCTGACATGGTGACAACCTTTTGTCACACAGCTAAAAACTGGATGCTACGAGATGATCCTTCCTTCAATAAGCAACACTCCATGAGAAGGAGTCAAACCAGATGAAGCTGCTCAAATGCACTTGTGTGCTTTAGGGATTTCACACACACCCCATGTTCAAGGCAGCTGGTCATGCTGGCAGCTGAAAACTATCCTTGAGTGCTGACATTTGTTGAACATACTGTAGAAATAAGACACTTAGAGGGTAGAACAACTAAGCCTATTTAACCTCACTGATCAGGCAACATCAGATCATGGTGTTGGATCAAGAGCCTGTCACACTCTCTCTCCATTCTTTCAAAAAACATGAGTTTTAACTAGTGGAACACTACCAAAAAAAAAAAAATCAAAGCAGATACTAGCCTGGTTCTAGTCAATCTGAAATACTAAAGTTACTCGATTTTGACTCATCCTGGGATGAAAATTAATTATAACTGATCATGAATATTAATAAAAATTTTAATTTCATTTTGTCCAAATGTTTTGTTTAAAAATTAAGATGCATCACATTAAAACACAGTATTCAGCTATAACATCTGGACTGGCATAAATATATATTTAGGAATGTCAAAGAAGGAAACAGGAGCATGATTTTAGCACCTACTGACTACATCAAAGCACAAAATAAAGGTGATGTTAGCAAACTTTTATTCCAATGACCATTTACCTTCTATGCATTTTTGACCAAAAATTTTGAGCATGTCATTTAATCCTTTGGCATACATATATGGCTACCATACTACAATGAATCCAATGACAGAAGATTAAGTATGCTTTCATGCTTTTACATCTTGCTAATAATGTAAAATACAGAGTGCATAACCAAGCCATCATCTATTAGACTGCAACTGCTAATTTTACACCTGTAAGTAGGTCTCAAATGTGTGGGAATTCCACAGGAAAATGTGAAATAGCAGCAGTGACTAGTATTTGAGTTTGCTCAGTTACTCAGTTACTACTTATTTCTTTGACAAGAAGCCTGATCTTACCTATTAAGAAAAGATGATAACAGAAAAATTGAAGAGCAAAGAAAATATAAACACACAATAAAAAGAACTATGAAAGTTCGTGATGAAAGAAAAGAAGAGACCAAAAGTATAGGAAGTTAAATGAGAGAGTTAAATGCAAAATTCCAAGAGTACTAAAAAAGTGTGCCTTTTTTCCTCCTAAAAAAGAAAAAATCAACATCTTCACAGGTTACCATAAATGTCTACATCAGTATATGCTCAAACACCATCATCAACAAATGAAATCATTTTTCTATTCTCCTTATCTTTTCAAGTCAACCTAGTATCAAAGAAAAACAAGCATCCATCTTCTTCTGGCTTACACATCCAGACTTTCAATCTGAAAAATGAAAAATCTGAAAAAGAAAATGGATCAGCTTCTTGTGGATCTTCTCATGAGATTAATATGCTTACCTAAATTGTTATGAATGAAACATTAAAACTAAAAACTAATATTGGGATAAAACTGTTCCTTCCTGCCAGGTGTTGTTCTCACCCGTCCCTTACAGATCAGCTCTACACTAAAAATTCCTTCAGGTTTGGCTGAGGGACTCTCAAGAGCAGGGGTGTGTTATCTTGATTCAAAGAAAGGCCTAGAAGTCATCCCATTAGCTCTGGACACAGAAGTTATGAACTTAAAGTCTAAGATAAACCTTGTGTCTTCCTACAGCAGATATTTACGCAGCCTGAATGGGTTCAACCTACTTGAGAAAGACCTGAATCATTCTCCAGAGGTATTCACTTTCCTCTGTAGAGAATCAGTAGAGCTTAGGTCTCTGATATCTTCCACCACCCAACTTTAGATTAGGTCACTTCACAGCTTCTGTCATAACCAGTAGACACTCAAAATTATCAAACTGTAAGCACAAAGACTCACAGTGTTTAAAAATAATCACATAGGATTTACTTGTTATGAGTATGCATTTGCATGCACCACCTGCCCAAAGTCATGGACATACCTAACATCCATGAGGGATCAAAGGTCAGGAGGAAAAAAGCACTTGCTTTAGTGGTACAAGCTGATGGAGCAGCTGTAAGGTCAATTTTAAGAAAGAATACAGGTAATTCAGCAAAAAAAGTATACACATTTCAGTATGGTACCTACATATTATTCAACATGGACACAAATAGAACAGGCCTGTAAAAAAAATTTGTTTCTGTTAAACTTCATATTACTTATTAGGAATATGCATCTTTACTAATAAGAAAGAGCATTACTTTTTTTTTCCTCTATACCTTGTGCCAAAGCCTGTGTACAAGAGCTACATGCTTTTGGAGAGGGAAAACCTGAAGGACTGAAGAATCTGCCCATTTCTATGCCCTTTTAAAGAAAGCTCCTTTTCATAGCCATATTGAACACTGAAAACTTGTATTTAGCATGTGTGGCTGGGAATGTTTATGTTTTTAACACGCTGTGTTGGAACAGTGTTCAATTTGTGAGATTTGAAAGCAGTGAGTCCTGCAAATATTGCTATGCTTATACTGAATACTACATTGATTTCAGTGGTGTTAATTCCCACTGAAACCTTTCTAAGACAAAGGGAGGTTATCCAAGATTTGTCTCCTTCACAGAACAAGAAAAGGAGCTACTACTCCAAATGTTAAAAAACAATTCTCAAGGTCCTAGAGCCATTCCTCTTTCTTATGAAGTGGAATCAAACAGACCAAACAGTCATTCCTGCTTTCCTTTCATTTTTGTGACTTTGTGTCCCTGATTTCTGAGCACATGGAAATCTCCACCGGCCTCAAAATTCTCCTTCAAGGAAACAAACTTAGTCTAGGACACTAAGATATGTGAAATTACACACACTTTAAAAGTATCTGAGTTTTGAATGGAGACACTAAACAGAGAAAAATATTTTCACGAAAAGTAATATTCCAATGACAGTAAATTAAACATCAGTTTAAAAAAGCTTTTGGTAGGTAAATCAATGCGTGTACACTTTGCACTCAACTTAGATGAAAGATGTGAAAATTTCTTAAAAAGTTTCCGTACACAACTAGACCTGTCTGTATAATTGAGTTTGTGCTGTCTCATGACAATTGTATTTTGAACAAGTCCTAAAGATTTGCTTATTCAGCTGTCGGAGGGAAAAACTAGCCGATTATCAAATACTTTTTGCTGTTGTCCAGATGCTATTTAACCAGGAAAAGTGCCACTTCAAGAGCTGAACAACGAGGAGGGAGAACTAGCGTCAGGAAGCAGCAGTTCACTGATGGACGGCAGCTTCTCCCCTGCCGCAAGCTGCTCTCACCAGCGGGCCGGTACCTCTGCCCGAATCCCGGACCCAGCGCCTCATAAGACATTTGCTCCCTCCCTTCCTCCCTCTTTCCCGGCTTCAACACGAGGAAACACGACGGCAAGCGAGATTTAAGACACTACGGAGCTGCCGAGCCGGCTTGGCGCCCTCGTTCCTGGACGTGCGTTCCCAGCCGGGCCCTCGCCGCCGCCGCCGCCGCCGCGGAGCGAACGCGGCGCCCGGCGCAGCCCCCGCGGTACCTGGTTGTGGTGCAGGTGGTGGAGCGGCAGCGCGGAGCCCAGGGCGGGCGCGGCGCCCAGCTGGTGCAGCAGCGCCGAGAGCTGCGCGGCCGACAGGCTGTGGTTGGCCCCGAATACCCTCAGCACGTCGTCGGCGAAGCTCGTCGGGGCCGCCGCGCGTGGGAGCAGCATCTCCATCCCGGCGGGACGCGGTGAGTGTCGCGGATGGCGCAGCCCCGCCGCGCCTCCCCCGCCTCTGGGGCTCTGCGGGGCGGGAGCGGCGCCCGCCCGGCCCCTCCCCGGGGGCCGTGGTGGGGACACGGGGCGGGCGGCACCGCGGCGGAGCCCCCGCGGCTCCGGACTGGGCGGGCGCCGCTCCCCCGCGGCGGGAGCCCCCGGAGGGGGCCGTCCCGCTGCTCGGTCCCCGCCGCGGTGTCGATCTGCTTACCGAGCGCCAGCGTAGCCCCGGCAGAAGGTGTCGTGGGGCTGATCGAGATGGCCCCACGCGTGGGCAAAAGGGGAGGCTGCAAAACTCCTGGTTGCCACCACCCCCGGTGCTGGGGCCAAGGGTCGGTCATGCAATCATTGCCCCCAGTGTGTTCCCAGACATATATCCAGCTTGCCTGCCTGCCCCAATCTGCCATGCAACACCCTTCTCCACACCCACCTGCCCTGACCCACGGAACCCTGCAAGGGATAGTCGAGGCCAAGGTCCAGGTCCAGCCAGACACTCAAGTATAGCCCTGCTGTACACACCTCAACAACACTATCTCCACAGCTGAGGCTCTGGACCTTGGAATGAGTTGTTCAGTTGGCAGCTAGTTAGGCAACCTGCTTCTCTCAGGCCCCCTCCCTTCCACAGGTTGAGACATGGATCTGTGTCTGGTCTACCTTCTTAGGAAGGATTAATGCACAAAAAAAGCATGAGATTTCATGTATGCTTTTATCAAACAGAGAAACCTGGGACTGATCACAGGTATATTCCTGGGGGCTATCACTAAAGTGGTTTGGATAAAAATCCTCACACTGCAGGACAGCAGCTCCAGCTCAGTAGAGATCTGTACTATTAAGTTATTCTATAACTGCCTTTTACAAAAATTCTTATATATCCATGTAGTGGGCAGAAACAGTGTGTTTTTAAAGAGTTGTTTGTTTTGGGGGTTTTTAACAGCGTAACTGTGCTGAATTGCAGGAGCGGAGGCACCGTCCCAGATTCCAGATTTCCAGAAACCAGAATTTTGTCCTGTGTGTGTGCCAAGTAGCCTGGGTAACAGCACTATGAAGGAGGCATGGTTAAAAAGATAATTCACAAGCAGCAAAACTCATTTGGTTAAATTCTTCATTAAAAACTTTCATGCCACAATGCACAAAGTATCTTGCAGGAAAAAAAACAACCCACTACTGGAGGGGGGTGTAATCTAGAGAGATCTACAATCATATAAATTCTAATGCTGAAAAACCTATCACTTTTTCTGAATTAGAGCCTGGATAACTAATATATTTTCACCCTTCCCTCTTACTTGGTTGGTGGCAGGTAAAACAGCCTAGGCATAATTTAGCTGCACCTTGTTCCAGATGTTCCCATCTGTATTGGCTATACCACCAGCTGTGGCTGAAGATGCTCCACCCTACCCAGCGCTTTATTTGCATGTGCATTTTGGGTCTCTTCCAGAGAAATTAACTTGCTGCTAAGGGAATTGCAACATTCTTCTTTAGGCAGCAGCAATGTCAATGGCAAAACTGGCACCTCTTATACTTTCTTCTTTGGCGTGTGTATTTCTGAACACAGCTCTAGTACCGGTTGATTGCTGAAGGCATTCTGAAATTTTAAAAAGTCTAGATTTGAAAAGTACCTTAAGGCCAGTAGATAAACTGGTAACAACTGCAAGCTGGTTATAACAGGTAAATCAAAACAGGTTGCTGGTTACATTAAAAAGATTTGAGTGCTCTGTTGTGCAGGGCCAAAGGGTTAATCTGAAAATTGATTATTTTAAGACTTCCTTTTTATCTGTATCAGAAATATAAAGGATTATTTAAATTAGTGTAATTAAATTCATATTTGCATTCATTCTTAGGCCCATGTTTGCATAATGCTGAAAAGTTCAAGGAAGTCCTGGATAATGCCATTAAGATTTATTCTCTGTTGCCAATTCTTGGCAGAATGAAAATCCTGCTTTATTTCTGAGACACAGCCAAAATTTTTCCTCAAGGAGTGACACGTTCATACTGCTCTAGTTTAAAAGAAATAAAAAGTTTCTAAACTCACTGTCTCTGAAAAAGCCTGCAAGAACTAAAAGGGCAAACTAACAATAAGACCAAACGTCACGTACTTTTCAAACTGCATGCATAGCACTTGCAGAACAATTCCAGATTTTGTGTATATTTTTGCGATGTTCAGACCTAATCAGGAAGTCCAATCTTTGTTCATGTCAAGTCTGATAAATCTTAGGCAAATAATAACAGAGCCAAATGCTCTTTCTCAAACTGAAAGAACAATCTGTTTGTACACTATAAAGCAAGTACTTCCCAACAGTACTTCACGGTCCTGATTCACTATTGTTTCGTTCCTGCTTTTCTTACACCTGTGTGATGTTACTGTTACATCTAAACCACCACAGAGTGCCAGCACACCAGATGGTGACTGGCAGTGGGCAAGACGACATAAAATCAGCTTCTCCAATCTTACACAGGGCCAAACCCTCTCTGAGGTGGGTTTTTCTTAAGAAATTCAGTGAAGCTGTAGCTAATTACATTAAAGCTAGCATGATTTGTAATCATATGTGTTATTTACCTATCTCAAAGTAAAGAAGAATCTTCTCTGTCTATGGTCATTCAAACTACTGAAATAAATCTATTTGAGAATAGCGATCATATAATTCTGTCATTTGGCAGGTAAAAGAGACACAGCCATCCCATATACTAACATTTGGACCTTTTTTTCTCTCGGCTCTTAGTTGGATTAACTATTTAATTAGGATTTAAAAATTATATCCTGTCATTTAAATGCCTTAAATGAAATGGCATATAGCAATGGATATTTTAGGGGACGTACCTAGGTAGACATGACTTAAACATTTTTGCACATATTTTCTCAAAGTAATTCTCTTCACTGTGGTGACTGAATTCTCAGCAGTTCCATTTTTTCATTTTTAGCTTGGCAAGGTAGACTTAAACACTCGCAGCCACTATACCTTAACTCCCAGAGACTCACAGTCAAATAAATTACAGCTTACAGCATGCTAAGATAGATACTCCATTTTCAGTATTGCCAGCTCAGGAATCTTTCAGTTCTCCTCAATTCTGTGCTCTTGTAAATACTGAAAAGGAATTCTGGTATTAGAGCTCTAGAAAGACAGTCAAAGTGTACTGTGAAGGCTGGTAACCATAGCAGCCAAATAAAAAACATACTGTTTGGCTTAAAATTCTTAATATAAAAATCTCATCAATCTGCAGATCTTGACTAATTTTTGAAAGCTTGGGTACATAGAGTAACACTGGAAATATGTCCTTATATATCATAGTAGAAAAGTTTCTGAAGTTAGAGAATTGGAAAGAATCCTTACTGCAAGGCACAAAATACCTACTGTAAAATTTTCAAAGGAAAAAGTGGGATCTCAAGTTTTACAAAATATTTTGACTCTGCAATTTTAATTGTTTAATAGTGAATTACAAAAGCTAGGGGCATGATACGGACCTTGAAGTATGAGAGGTATAATGGCATTGCTATGGTAAATAAATCACAACTTGCTTCTCTTCTTAGGCTGCACTATCGGTTCCATTTGTGTACTGTTTACTATCCTGAGAAGCTTGGCTCCTGCAGAAGTTTAGCATTATGCAAGATTTCAACCAGCAAGAGGTATTACTCGTTCTACAGCCTACACCAGCCAGATCATTAGCTCTCTCTGTGAAACTGTAAAATACACTGTTTTGATAAGAAATGTGATCCATATGCTCCTTAGGACTAATTACTATTTAAACAAATATCTTTAAAACCAAAATCTCTGTAATAAAATATCTATATTAAAACCTTCACTGTTTACATTTTCAATTATAGAGATATTTAAGGATCTTCAACCACAAGGATAAGAATTTTCTTTAATGGAGATATACAGGCGAATTAGGTTCAGTTCATAGCTGCTCATTAGAAAATTAGGCTTAGTAAAATTCCACTGACATTTTAGAAATATTATCTGTACCCACCTTGCTAGTGTAGGATCAAGATTATTTAGACCCTATTGCTACTGTCAAAGCCTAAAGTTGTTTTGAATCTGAAGTTTCAGCCTAGGGCCATCTCTAATTTTCAGTTGGTAAACCGGCTTCTAACTTAGAAATCCACTAACTGTTGGGCTACAGCTTCGGGTGGTATGAAGTGAGATAGTGCCTGGAGAGCTGAGCCAGCCTATAGCAGCCTATGACTCAGAGTACCCCAGATATGTGTGCAGAGAGATAGGAAGTAATAAACTGCCTTAAAAAGAGAGCAGTATTCACCATGAAGATGAATACTGATCACATTGCCTCACATTAATCAAATAATTTTCGCCAAAGAGTCATCATCTGGAAAAAATACGTCTTCTGCAATTTGGGGAGGAAAAGAAAAAAAAAGACTTTTTTATTTTTTTAAAGCAAAAAGACACTATACATTATTATCAGTTGAACTTCATTTTGTAAGAAAATGAAAGTTTAGCAATTTGGAATTCTTTTTCAAGGCAGCCTTATTCTGATCTGTACCATTTACCATTAAAAAGAATTTTTACATTTACAAATTCAAAGTCAAACATTTCAGTTATTCTCCCCAAGTCTTGCAAACACACTTTTAAATTTAGATTTTCTATTGTTCTAAAATTAGTTTAAACCCAATCTTAAAGTCTCAAAAACATTGAGGAAACAATACATGTTTTGTAGGAACACACCTAATAGTGACCTCTTACCTGGCGATGACCTTTAAATGCACCGGAGGATCCCAGGGGATGATCAGTACATGATTGAAAGCAACAAGCTCAGATTCTATTGACATACCTGCACCGAATTGTATGTATCTAAAGAACAAGGGTTACCACAGAATAAAGGAGAGGCAGTCATTTGTCAATATTAGTACAATTAGATAAGTGAAGTAGTGTCAGCAGGATGTCTGAGACACAACATGCTGGGGTTGTATTTTACAGGCTGGATCCTGCAGGGATCAAGATGAGCCCTGTGAGACAGCAATGCTAAACCAGCTGCAGGAGTCC